TTTTCTCATTCTAATAGAAGAGATTAAGAAAAATTTTACGACGCTTCTAATATATATAATTAGATAAGATTGATAAAGACCAAACAAGATCTTGTTATATTTCTATGGTAAATCAAACATAGTATTTATATTTGGATTGTCAACTCATGAATAGAATTTGCAACATAGTATTTACAAAAATGTAGGTAATTTTCAATGATATCCAAATCAATCATAGATTTTTTTCCTTTCTTTCTTTTCATCAACATGGTGCATCTACTCATTAATAAAAAGTGACCTAACTCAAGTAAATGCATGCATTTAAGATCTTTACTTTATAGGTAATTTCAAATAAAGCTCTCGACAAAATTATGGAAAAATTTAACATCTCAAATATCGATTTAAATTTGAGATAATGTTGTCGTTTTTTTAGCGAATAGTATGATACAATATGAAATGGGTGAATGGTAATCTGAATAAATTTTAATACAGCATAGTAAGCATACAATGTAGAGAAGTAGAAAAAAAGTTCAACTTTCAAAGTAAATGTGAATACAACAGTTTATCTAAGCCTATGTTTGGTCCTTATTTTTTAAAAAAATTATTTTTTCAAAACTCATTTTCAATCACACATTCTCCCTTAAATAATAGTACAAGTAAATCGAAAAAATTTCTTTAATTTTTAACTACACATTTTCCAAAAAATCACTATTCCAATAGTTTACTCAAGGACAAATCTCTCGAGAGTAATTAAAGTTTAAGAGTAGTTGAAGTTCTTATATATTGTTTATTTTTCATATCTTTATTGGATATGGGATTTATCCTTAACAATTCTTTGTAAGATGGCTGCTCATTTAAGCATATCAATTTTGAATGTTGAGTGCTCATTTGAGTGCTAATCAAACCAAATTACTCATTTGAGTTTAATAGATTCTCGTATCATATTAAAACTAGGACGTTTTATCATTTTCAAGTATCAACCTTATTAAAAGTATTAGCTTAAGCCCTTATATGTCATTTATTCTTTATATCTTTATTCGATTTGGGATTTACCCTTAACACTGTTATGCTCTTTCCGAAACATCCAACTTTGACACTTGTCATAGGACAAATTTATGAGAGGAAACACAAGTTAAAACTTTCAAATTAAACACGCAAAATTTTCACATAATTTATAAAAATTTCTACTACAACAATGTAATCAATCACATTGCAAGAATATACAAACTCATCCAAAAATAAGCACAACATCATCCTCACAAACATAGGGTAGAACATGACAAATCGAAAGACTTTCTACGGTCGAGGTTTGTTGATACAACATTTCTCGACCTCCTACCAGTGTATCTTTGTTACTCATGGTCAACATTATCATTAAAAACTTGAGTGCTGCCGTATACATCATCATTTAAACCATCCAATACCGCATTACAAAAATTGGTTAGTTATCATAGTCATTATCCCATTTAGACACCATGTCAAACCACATTGTCATATTTTTATTCTTCGTACAAATCAACACCTAATTACTCCTCATAATTAAAACAAATAAGAACCGTGCTGCTCTACCAGATCGGCAAAAGAACTGGCAGAGCCAATGTGTCTTGGGGGGTGGGTGATTAACATTTGGGGGGAAATTTTTAACGAAGTGGGCCCCGAGAACCTACCTCAAGTGAGAGCAACTGCTCTACCAGGCCTTTTACAGGTCTGGTAGAACAGTTTTATCCAACAAATAAAAGGGTTATTATCACACAACATTACTTGTGCAATACGAATTATAAGAACCTCAAAACGTAGTTGTCTTCCTTACCAACCTGATACGACAAAAGAAAAGAATACAATATTGAAAATTGTTAAATATAATGGTATATGCATAATCAGCTCATTAATACTCATTGATTTAACCAAATATTGAAAACGGAATGTGCTGGGTTTTAATTTGTATTGGTTATTCTTTAGATAAAAGGATTATTATAAAAAAAACTGTAAAAGTCAAAGAAATTAATTGGTTAGTTGTTTAGATGGATAGGGAGTCTTGGAGATCAATTATGGAACGAGGAAAATTGGCATCGCACTTTGGCTAGCCTACCATCCAAGTCTCGCTCGAGCGGCCACATTACAAAATCAACAGAAAGTTTCCGTTTGACTGTTACTTGCCTTTCACTTGAGCGACAGACTGTCACTCGCTGACCGCTCACTTCTCGCTTGAACGGCAGCTTTATCCGACAAAAACCTAGTTTGCTAGTTTAATCTGTTTTCTAATCCTAAATAACCCCAAACTCTCCAAACTATAAATACCCAACCTCTATTTCATCCAGAGTGTGGTTGATCATTATAATACACTTTCATAACATCATTACATGATCCAAGAACATATATAAACATTGAGATTAATCATTTGATTTTTGAGATAAATCAACCATAGGGTTTTTGAGAAAATATTGACATTTCATATCGAAACAATTACTTCCTCAATAGCTTTCAGATGTTCAGGAGATTCAGGAAGGTGTACCAGAAGTCTAGGAATATTACAAGAATGAGGAGTTCTTGTTTAATCCATAAGAAGATCAAAAAGATCGGGATCTGGTGCGGGGAAGCACTGTCAAGTGGGTCTTGAAAATTGCAGGATTTATGTCACGTATTCTAATGAGAATTCTAGATTAGATCTTACTGTAAGTTCATATTATCTATAGTGGATACTGCGGCTTGGTCCCGGAGTTTTCTATCCAGTTAAGGGTTTTCTCCATCATCAATTATTTGTGTTGTTTATGTTATTGATTTCATACAAATTGACACTTCAACATAGGGTGGTTAATTCATGTGAACTCGATCTAGATTAATTAATTATCATGAATTGTCGCAATATTAATTGACAATATTTTTAATTTCGTATTACAATTATTTGCCTCTCTAAGTGTTGTTTGGGTCGAACTTGCGTGACTTTCAAATGGTATCAGAGCTCAAATTTGATTTCTAACCTTAGTTTTCTAGATGAGTAGTTCATTGTCTGTCATCGCCATATTTTGACGCCAGTAACTACGCCTATTGGAAAGTTAGAATGAGAGTTTTCTTGAAATCGATAGATGAGCGTATTTGGTTTAGCGCAATGAATGGTTGGACTGCCCCCTTCTTGCACCATTAATAATTAGGGGTGTGCATGGATTGGGTTGAGTCAGTTTTTACCTCAACCCAAACCCAACCCAACCCAACTTAATCAAGTATCGGTCGGGTTGGGTCGGTTTGAGACAACTTGTCAACAAAGATTAAAGTATTTGGGTCAGGTTGAGCGGATTTATAATTGACTCATGAGTTATATAATATTATGTCTCTATAGTTGCAATGACCAAAAAATCTGAATTATTTTGGCACTTCATGCCCGAAAATTTACATGGACAGATTGATATTAAATTATATGAAGCTAGAAATGTTTTTGGCAATTAAAAATTTTTTGTGTTGAATGTATATTTGTTTATACTATTTTTCGTAAAATGCATTTTATCCAAATCTTATAATATTATTCTAAGAGTTTCCATGTCTTGTACCATATTCAAGACTTCTCGTGTATTGTGTTTACGTATATAGAACCTTGTTAATTAGTAATATATAATTTGTGTATGGTTTCCTCAAACTTTTCAACTATTGTACAAAATTTTTCCAACAATAATTGACATTTTAATCTAGGTTTTTCTGAATATTGTAGCTCTTGGAGGTTGTGTGAAGAAAAGAGTGACTCAATTTCGTCCAATCAACATCATAACACTTGTAAAGTTCATAAATATAGTCGGGTTGGGTTAGGCGGGTTTATTCGATTTTCATTAGTTAATTGATAATCCGACCCGCCTATATAACCAACCCACCCAACTCGTGTAAAAACAACAAAAAATTCGACTCAAACTGGTCGGAGTTGGTTCGGTTTGGACGATTTTGACGGGTTCAGTAGGGTTTTACTCACCCCCTATTAATAATGTTGTCACCCCCACTGGCTAATTGGTCAAAGACTAATTTAGATGAGTGTGATTTGAATAGTAAGGTTTTACATGCTTTATTTATGGTTGTGTCACCAAAAGAATTTAGGCGCGCGTCTATGTGTGGAGTTACTAAAGAAATTTGGGATATTTTATGAACCACACATGGGAGAACGCAGGCTATTAACAATTCTAAATTATAGATGTTGGCCACGAGGTTTGAAGATATTAGGATGAAGGATGATAAAACTTTCGATGACTTCTATTCGAGTTTGACTGATATAGTTAACTCCTTTTTTTTATATGAATTGATATAGTTAACTCTAGTTTCAATTTTGATAAGAAAATTCCAGAAACTAAGATTGTTCAAAAAGTTCTTAAATCCTTACCTGTTAATAATCGTGACTTGTTGCAATATTAATTGACAATATTTTTAATTCCATATTTACACCTATTCACCATGTGTAGGTATTGTTAAGGTCGAACCCGCGTGACTTTCCAAATGAAACAACGATCTCGTCAAATCTAGATGAATATTGAAGATTTATTTCATCAAAAATTAAATTCTAGCCATGCATAAAGTACGAGACGAAATTAAGTCCCTATTTGACATTCATTATTTAAAAATTATTTTTTCTACACATTTGCACAACAAAATATTTTGCCCATAAATTCAAAAAAAATCCTACTTTTTTAATCACATATTCTTCTAAAAATTATTATTAGCAATTGGAGGGGGGCTTGAAATAGCAATATGGTGTGTGGCTAAGGGGAAGCGTGAAGAAGCAAGACATCCTTTACCCGCAAGTGGGGAGTTCCCAACGTCTAGAAAATCAATTAGTAGCTTACTGTCGGGAGGGATCCGGCCATTCCCAGCGATGAGAAGAGTTGGATGGAAACATTAATCAAGATGCGAAAATTGGGGAATCAATTGCAGATTTAGTGCCTAATTTCCATAATAATTTCTCTGAATCACGAGTAAAATGTTTGAATGGTCACTGAACTTTAACATGGTCAAGACTTATTCACTAATCTTCAAATTGCCTCTTAATGGTCACTGAACTTTCTGCCGAAGCACCACATCCAACACTCACCAAATTCCGTTACAATCGAAGCTGACGTGGCGGACGAAAAACACACGTGGAAGATGACGGCCGTTAAAAAATGACAACTCAGCGAAAACATTGTTACATTACTCATCCAACTTACATTTTGTCAC